CAACATTTTATTACTGCTGTTGAGTTACTTCGATAGGCATTTTATCTCATGTTGAAAGTTGATTTTAATTTGAAACTGTGATATATTCAATAAACTTCAAATTATTAAATATTAACATCGATAATGGTTTATCGTATTTTCAGTCAAAACTTTTAAACGTAGTTTAATTATTTTCTAGTTATCTTTGTTTTCATAATAGATGCCCTAATTACGAACGGAATCGCCGGACAAAAGTTCATTAAGTATTAAAAGTTTGTAAACTCTTAACAGTCAATTATGGTATTACAAAAAGATTGCAGTGTTATTAATGATTTTTTTGTATTTTTTTACCTTTATTATAGAAGTCTTTAGCGCAAAATGTTAGATGTTATTTGATGAAGAAATATGATAAAATAACCCATTAATTTTTTTTTTGTGGTGTGTATGAGAGTAAATAGTTAATTGCTTATAAGATTCCGTTGATATTATTAATATATAAAATTAAGTTTCAAAATTTAATTTAGAACACGTGTTATTATGAGCCAAAGATATAGCCACTGAAAATATGAATTTTTTGCTTAAAAAGTATTAAAGACCTTTTTATATATTTATTATACATCTCAAAATCATTTTTAAAACTTATTCCTACTTCGTTTTTAGGATATAAGATTAAGATAGTATAAGTCCCCAGCTGAGAAAACAGCAATTAAACAACATTCACGTTTTATGGTGTTAAATAATATGCCTTTTTTTTTGTATTGGTGACATTTAACAAAAAAAAAAAAATGTTTAATGTTTTAACACTGGTTTTCGTAGTTATTATTGATACCATGTAAATAATAAGACTACGTGACTTCAGCTATTTTTATAATAAAAGTGAATACAAAATGTTTTTCTTTACGCGCTTCGTAGGAATATAAAAAAAGATTACAGCGTTATGAGGTACTATATGTAACTATAAAAAAGGTTAAATGTAATTGATGTCTGCTATTACTCACAGTTAATATGTTCACCGTTCGAAAATACGTGTAAAGATTTAGTTTACATAAATGAGGCATAAGTTTAAGATATTGATTATGGGGAGGTAAATTATGTTCATTATTAAATTAACGTTGATTTCTTAGTGAAGCTTACAAAACTTTTACCAATGAAAATTATAACCCGAGCTTTCCACCTTAAGTATTTTTAAATTTGTTTGAAGGTTATCTTTAACGCATTGTCCTTTTGATTCAAAAGTATTACATTTTTTTTTCATTTTTTAAATGGACTTACCGAATAGTGTAACAGGTAAGCGTGTGGTAACGTGTGGTAGAGGAATCGGTGGTGCAGGTGGTGACTACGAAAGATGCGACGACGTGAGTCAGTCGCCGGACGCGGTCGGTCCCGTTACTGATGCGCGCGACACGAAGGATATTCACACTAGACGGGTCCTCCTGTTGCACTCCCGGGGACAACCCCGTATGCGGCCTTTAATCGGGGGCTCTCGCGATAAAAGCGCTGTGCCCCTAGCGCCTGCGCTAATATCGTGTGGTGGCCACGGCCGTTCAATACCGACACCGACAGCGTAGGTATTGTGTGTTGTCGGCGGCCATCTACTTTTGGGTGGTTTTCACGATACACATGCAATTCTTGATACGCGCGCAACTAGCGCGTAGACGGAAACGTGTCACGCTTTAGGACAACGCCACCGCCACGAGTTGAGTGTATCAACATTACCAGACTCCATGCGTGTGCTTTACACGTTAAAACGCATTTGTCGTCGTTGTTGTTCCTCCATAACAGAGTTTTATATCATTTTCATATGCCGTTGTTATCATTATTATAGTCGCCGTTAAAAATAACAAACATTACTGATGCATTGGCTCTATTTTATGAGATTTTTAAATGTCACCAACGTATTTTTTTATAACACATTAAAAATTGGCAAAAAGTTCTACGAATAAGGTTTATTTTTAACGTTCTACCTTCAAAAATATACATTTGTCTACATGATCGTTGTTTGCTTTTAGGTTTATTAAAAACAATATCACCAACCTGTTATTATTTAAAATTCGTTAATTAAAACAACAATTATAATTAATTTTATGCTAAAGCTTTGAGAAATATATGTTAATGATCAAAATATTATAAAATAATGTATGTGTTTTGGTTATATTAATAACTCATGGTGGGTAAATATAATATTGATGGAGAGGGGGTTAAATGCCAATCCTTTAACATACGCTTCTAATCAAAATCAATTATTAACATATTACAATTTTTTATTGTGCTATTGTACATCATTATTACTTATTTAAAGGTGCGTGTGAGTCGTTTGCTCTTTATAGGCCTTTGGGAATTTGGTCTATGTTATTAATGAATATTGAATGACAATGTAATATACTCACTGATTAAAAAACATGGCCTTATTTTATAGGGTAGTTTAAAAACATGGGAAAATCAAACAGGTGTCGGCCGATATTTAATCACGGTATGCTTTAATATAATATGCTAAAAAAATCATTAATATATGTACCTATTCTATTGAAAACACGTCTTTAAAATGTGTACAACATATTATGATAATCTCAGATCAGAGCGCATGTATAGTACTATATATTAGTAATATCATTTCTATAAATGAAAATGTATCTTTACACGAAACAATTTGCCGGTTTTTCTAAACCCCGTATCTCTAATTCTACTTTAAAGAGGCTTTTGAAAATTAAAATATAGATTAGGCAGTAGTTAGTTTAGAACATTGTAAACAATTTTGCTTTTAAGGTCAAGTCAATTTAAAATGAGAGAATTTCAGTGTTTATTTAGGTTACTGACTGACGGACTGGCCATCATCAAAATTATAAAACGCTTCCCGTACTGGAAATTTGGCGCGAAGGTAAGTTTTATGGTGACAGTAAACGGAGAAATCTGAAATATGTTATTTTAAATCATGTAACGATTTCACAGGCAGCAGTGTGATTGGGAGTGGCAGGGCGGGCAGTCACTCGTTATAATTTTTTAGCGGCTTAGGGAAATTATGTTTTTTGCTGACTTAATCCAGCAAAGAGGAATGATATCTTCAACAAAAACCTTATTGTGAAAAGAAGCTAAGTTATGACTTCTCCCCTTCAAAATAATTCTATCTATTAAAGTAGTAATATCTACATTGTGACCAAGTCTGCTTTTTCTTTAGACTTTAAAATAAATTGTGCAAATTTTCGTATTCATATAATGGAAGTTTTTAACATATTCGGTGATTGCGTCCTGAGGATGAGAAAACTTATTACACTTATTATCACTGTCAGTAATAATAAGAACTAAGAAGCGTAGGTTGATGTGATTAAAGGCGATTAATAAATAGAATACCCGGTTGTTATATTACAATTATATAAAGTATATTAATGAGACAATGAAATTAAATAAATTTCATTAAATAACAATAATTTATCTTTTTGGCACAATTATAGTTAGCTGTATAACACAATAAATTATTAGTTTAAATAAAAAATGTCAATCGTGTGACTTAAACTACATAATGAACATGAATATTATAATAATTATTTTAATATATATATATTAGAACTTTTATATTAGAGCGGGAGGAGTAATGAGGTTCATAAACTCTCAGAGATAAAAATAAGTAAACTCACTATTCACTAGTCATTTTAATTAAGTTTTAATAACATCTAAAATAATAATTCATAAGTTGTTATCGATCAGTCATTTTCTTAGTCAAATTATTTCCTTATTATTAACGAGTTAAACAATATGTTTCCATTACAAAAACACGAGTTCTAAAGGGAGAAGAAAACGGATAAGACCAACTTATTTTAAAAATCTTATAGTATAGGATATTATTATAACTTCCATATAATTACATAACATCCGGAAAAAAAATTATAACATGTTTTATACTTATTTCGCGAGGCATTGATAATCAATTATATATATATAATTATTGCTTATTATTAAAATTTATTCATATTAGTTATTAATTATTCGTATAACAAATTGTGATTAAAGGATTTTAGACATTTATATAGACATATAATTCGTACAAATTCGACAAAAAATTTTTTTTTTTATGAACTATTAGTTGATTTGTGTACTGTAAAAATTTTGTGGATTGATTCGAACTTAAATAAATACCGTAAAAATTGAATATTATTCAATTAAATTTGCGTTTCGGATCACAGTTTAAACGCAGTTTTTTAGGCATTTTTTTTTTATACAGAAATTTACAGAATTGTTTCAAAATATATTATTGATGGATTCAGATATATATGATTATAAAGTGTATATATTTGACGTATTGTTGAGAAATATCAGTTCAGTTAAAATAGATTTATATGTGACCACAAAAAATGAATAAAAATAAACACGACATAGTAATACCAATACTTTCTCAACTGTGCATAGAAACTTAAATAGACAACGTTAAAATGAAATAAATGTTATTGAGTGTATAATCGCATTAATTTGTCAATCTCGGCGATTTTTATTATGTCATTACTGCTTGATTAATAATACAAGATTAGAAATTAATCTTACCATTATGTTATCTTGATTAAGACTCGTTAAGTTAAAAAATGTTCTCTAATAGATATTTCCTAAAGAAGCTATGACATCCATCTAAAAGTTTATTAATTTCATGAATGCATAGTGCGTTTAAAATTATTCAACATTAAATTATAGTTGAGAATTTATACTCTCGTACACAATTATAAATTAATGTACTTGGGTAATACGTCGTCGTTTTGTGCATTTAAATAAAGTCGATTACAAAGAAAATTAGGTTCTGATGGAAATTTAACAAAAAGTTATGTTGAAAGCATTTATAAGCGTTTTATGACTTGTAATTATATTTTTAAGTAAGTCAGTTAATAGTTCGACATTATTCATACTTCGATTTAAGCTTGGTCGTGTAAAGTTATTTTATTGTCAAGGACGACTACAGAGGAGAATAATTGAGGGGGGATAAGAAACAAACAGAGTAAAATACAACCAGCCTGGTCCATAATAATATGTCAAACATTGGTTGATCAGTACGGTAATAATTATAAAACTAGGGGGGCTAACTCACCTACTTTTTGAGTGGCTCCGGTATTTGTTATCAATTACAATTCGAAATTAGTTTTTCGATAATGTTTATGGATTGATAGTGTTTTTTTTATAAATTTAAAAGTGCATAAAATTAACATTTTTGAGCAGAACATTCCTTACAACTCTATTTCAATGCACGTTATTTTTTGTACAATAAGCTTATAACTTAAACTTTTTAGTGAATATTTTCCTTTTTAAATGTGATTGCAATTAGCTTATATATCTGATTTCGAAAATATTAAGGTAAGTTATTTTTAATAGAACTTTTTTTTTATAACGGCAAAACTAAATTGAATCGTTCAATAAATTAATTTATTATACTATCGTAATACTTTTTGATTAAAATAAAAATTGATACTTACCCCAAAAATGTTGCATCATTTTGAACAAAACGCAACAAGTGATCGATGTTCATATTTTTACGGATTATGAAAATAATAATAGGTTTATACAAATAGAACAATGTATTACATTTATACTTGTTTATAAAAAAGAAATAAATTCATAATTCTACCCCCTTATGTTACTATTTATGGTCAGTATTTAATCTAAACTTTCGGAACAAAAAGTAAGAAAAATCAAAATTTAGGAAAAATTAATTTAATTTAATTTGCATGTTGATTATTTAATTTATTAAGCTTTTATTTTTAATCATTGACATTTTATAAATATTATACCTCAACGGTTATAAATACTAACTCAATTCATTTAAATAATAATATTTGCACTATGGAGAACGGAAATAGTAGAATGAATAATTATGATAAATTGAGATTGTAAAATGATATCGGGAGAGTGAGTATTAATATTGTGAAGAGATCAAAAATTGACTAAGAAATTAAGAGATAAAGAGAAAAGTTACTTGAATGTTATTCTTGTTAAAAGTAAATATAAGGAATTAATAAGTAAAATATAAGCATGGACTTATAATAAATAAAACGACCTAATTTAATTATAATAATAAGACAAATTTTTCTATACTACTTGGTATAATTTAAATGCAATGCAGATCATTTACATTGTCAAGCATTAAGAAAAAGTTTATGGAAAGAACAGATAAAGTCTATAAAACGAATAGAGTTAATTGGTGATAATCACATATTAGAAGAGAAAGTGTCAAGGAAGTCTGCTATTTCATTGTCCGAAATACTTATGACTAGGAATCCAATGAAAAAGAATGAAATTTCCGAATGAATTGATAACAGATACAAGATATCTGTTATAAATAATAGGAGAGGATTTAGCTAAGAAAAAACCGGAAGATAATGCTAAATTACAAGACTATAAATCCCAGAAAATTACATAAAATATCCTAGTAGCTGTTACAATTTTGTCACCTTAGAATTAAAGGTTCTAAAGTACATTTTTACATTTTTCAAGAGAGCTATTTTTAATTCAAAAAGATTTTTTTTATAATCTCTTAGAAATATTTTTATTTTACCGTATATACAGAATATTGTACTAAATGTAATAAAATTTCATTATGAATTATTCGATAGTTATAAGTTGAGTAAATGACGAAATACTCGAATATGGCGATCAGAAAAAATAAGAATGTTTAAACTATACATTCCAATTTAACCATTGTTTATTCAGTTTTCAGCATTTAAAACCTTTCTATTCCCTGTAACTCACAAAATAATAAATTTGATAATAATGTTATTTAAGTTGTGTAAAAGCAAAAAAAAAATTATTTAAAAACAACAAGTGCATAATTATTGGAATTGAGAGAGATGGTTTTGACTTTTTGCCATTGCCATAAGAACCGCGAATTTTATGGCAGCTTATAATACTTTTTTTAAATTTTATGCGCAGGACAGCATATCCAAATGTCTCCTAAAAAATTCAGTTACGTCTGAAGTGAATGCTTGACCACTTTTAAGTCTTCTTGATACATATTTAACGCGATATTATATTTATCATTAAAATTTCTTAGACTTCAATACTTATATATTCATTTTAATAACTTTCTACTAATGGCTATGCTCTAAATTAACATTTTGATGAATTGATCAAAGCTTTTTATTATATTATAAAAGGAAATAATTACACTTTTATGAAATTACTTAAAATTATTTTTTTATTTACTAGTTTTTTGTTATTAATTATTAACACTAACAATATGTTATGTTGAAAAAATAAAGTATTTTACTTATAAAATATCTCTCTATAAGTTATCATCTTTTTCATTGTGTTTTACAATCATGACCGACTTTAGTCATAATCTCAAACAAAAAAATATTTTTTTACTACATATTAGTTAATTTGTAAGAACGTGTTTTTTTTAACTTAGTACTAGGTCACATTGGAGTGTTCATAATATCTATACATTATTGTTACTTGTGATGCTGACTAATGTTTTGGAGTGAATAAAAAAGTTATAATTTATAAATCTCCTTTTACTTATTTTATAAATACGTTGTGTTATGATAAAAAAAAAAAGATTATAGACAAAAAAACAAGCGAATTTAATGTATTACTCTTTATATTGAATTTTAATGACCAAATGTATACATAAATCAATATCAAGATCTCTTAACTATCCATAGTTTATAATTTATATAATTTTCTGTTCGTTTTTCTTTTAACTATATATGATACCGAATTTCAGGTAGCAATATGTTTAATATAATATTTAAGTTCATCATAAGTAGTTACGTGTTTTTCATATTAAACTATTACACATGAAGACGAGTGCTCTTTCCATAAAATTTTAACTCTGTCAGTTTTCAATTTATAGTTCTCCAGAACACAAAAAACACTGCGTTCGTTCATAAATAGACTGTAGTTTGAAGCGGATTTGATTATCACAGCTTTTTCTAATTATTTTTTTATACATGGTGTTAAATATTAACTTCATTAACTAATTTAAACTAAAGAGACATCTATAATAACACTAAAACATTATTTAATTAATAAATTATTGATTTAAAGTCAAACAACAAATCATTTATTAAATTAATTTTTTTTTTATATAGCCAATGTATCTTTTGATATGAAATGAGCGTTGTAAATAATTTTAATTTGGTTGTATATTTAGGATAATTTTATTTTTAATATAAAATAAAATTTTTATTAAAACAATAATTGATCATAAATTTATTTAATGTATATTATATGATACTAAACAAATATTACATTGAATAATAGTATACTAAAAACACTCGCTATATTAGAAATATAATCGTACTTAAAATAATATTAAAATGATATTTAGTTTTTAGATCTATCGTTAATAAAATATAATCCTGTGTCAAATCTTAATGTTTCTATGTAATTGTATCTTAACATACAAAACCGGAGATTCACATATTATTAAAATGATTCAGACATTGAAAAATAACATATTACTAGAATACATCGAAGAAACCATAATAATAGATTTAAGGCAATAATAATTAGTCCGTTAATTTAAAAACAACACAGTATAATTATAATAATAATTATGTTTATTTTTTCCAACGTTATATATAATCCATTGCATTACAAATAATTAAACAATTTAGTAACACACTTAATTTGTGAATGATTGCATTCAATTTGAACATTAAAAAGAATTCAATATTTTCGTAAAAATTAAAATAATAAAAAGAGAATGTGTTACCTACAAATTATTGAAAATTTTAGTTATTATAAAATTAAAACACAAAAGTGATATTTCATAAATTATTTTAATTTCAAAAATATTTTCAATAAATTTTTAAAATTATAGTTCAACATTTTTTTTTGCATTTAAAACGTTTTGTTATCCAAATTCTGCTATTTTTTTTTTTTTTTTATAAAAAAACTGAAATATTTGTTAAATTTGTATTAATTAAAAATAATTATATATTTTAGTAATAAAGAAGTCTTTGTGTTATAAAATTAAACACTCTATTAAGATATTATAAAAATAAAGGTAATTAGCAGTTTAATAGGTAAATTAATTAACGAATAGTATTAAATATGGAAATTCATAAATTCAAAATAATAGTGTAGTATAAATTAACATTATTGTTACTATATTTTGGAATCCAGACAATTAAATCGAATTACAGCAGTATGTTTCAATAGTATATTTCCCTTAAAGCAATTTAAATTAAAATAATCGAATGACTTTACATAATGTTAAATATATTTGAAAAATAACACATCCCTTCTGTTGAATAAAAAGTAATTTTATTTAAAAATAATAAATTTTATTTTTTAATTATATATAAAAAAACAATTAATGAAATTTTATTTGTGCATAATATTTTGAATTTAACAAAATATAATATTTTAGCAATTTTAAGAATTTTTTAAAATTCAATTTCAATGATTAATTTTCCAAAACAAAAAAAATGTGGGTAATATTTAAGATTTTTTATTCTACTTAAAATACATAACACTTTCTTTTACATAATATATTGTGTATGTAGATATTATATATATATATATATATGTCACTTTTTATTATATATATTATATATAATAAAAAGTGACATCTAATAGTATTTAAGTGTAGTACATTATTAATGTATGTAAACTCACCCTGACCTTTAATTCTATAGTACTTTAAAATATTTCGTATCGTACTAATTACTGATCAAGCAGTTCTCATTGAAATGCAAGAGATTATCCAGAAGTCTACCAGAGGCGATAATAAATGTTAAAACGTGATCTCTTTGCTAATGTTTCATGGAAACATCTACGGGTATTAGAATTTTCATAACACTCAAATCGAAGTCCTCAAACTACCCTTTTCCAGTCAATAATGTTATAATTTTACACGATAAGCATTATATTATTCAAACCCTCTCGACAAAAAAAAATTATACTATTTTCCTTTTTTTCGTGTTTTTCTTTTTGTATTCACGGTTTTAACAGTTAACACCAAAAGATATTCTTTATCTTTAATGGTATCTCAAAAAAGAGTACTAGGGACAGTTATGTTACCATGGTTCTACAAATATAAGATAATATTAAGTGGCACTTTTCTTTTTGATCTAACATGAATTCATATCGTCATCAGTTTATTTTGAATTTACGTTGACATAAATATTCGTTACTTACTTAGCATGTTTTTTGTAGCGTATAATATAAGATTACTCTACTTTTTCAATTTATAGACACTAAATTAATTCATTTTAATTAAACTTTTTAAAGTTATATTCTATATGAAAATCATATTGTTTTTATATATAGTCTAATATGTAAAAGTTTTATGTTAATCGTATAATTTTTTGTACTATAATTAATTTAACAATAGTAATCAAAATAATATATGACTGCCAAATTTATTTTTTAAATATTAGAATAATATAAACGGTTGGGTTTAGATTAAGTTATCACAAGTATACCTTATTTCTTATTAATTAAAATTTGATAAATAAATAAAACATATTATTCCTAACGCAAAAAGTTACATATTTTATATTAAAATATATATCATCCCATAAGTAAAAAATAACTTGCAGCTATATATTCAGAGAAATATATAGTTATTTAGTTCTTGCATCCTATTTTATTCTATTTCTCTATTTATGTTTTATATAATTTTAAAATATTACTCTTTGGTAAATGATAATTCACACGTATATCTAAAAAAAATAACACTAAAGATAATGAAACCTTTCTATATTACACTTAAAAATGTATTCATAATTTTAATAAAATCATACGTCGCTGAAATTACATATTTTTAAGCAAATAATAATTTTTTGGAGTAATATTCCTATTTAATTGATTTCAATTGTCTTAATGCAATCTTCTTGTATTTGTCAAAGATTGATGATTAGTTTAGTAATCAATTTTAATTTATATGTACTCAAGTACATATAAATATACATACATACTTTATTTATGAAAACTTAACGATAGTCCGTTAATCCCCGTTTATTAATAGATAACGCCATCTATGTTTTTGAAACTTGAGCTATTATTATGAAATTTTTAGGACAGGTAGAGTAAATTGTACGTTGTCTCCAATAAAAAAAATTATTGTCTCTTGGACTATTTTTGTAGTTAGTCTTATATTATTTAAATGTTTTAGATACATACAAATTATACACTGTTAAACATTTTTATTTAATGACTAATAAAAAATAACATCCAGTATCTATTAGTGAGCATAACATAAGAGCAATGACTATTGGAACTATTTTATGTTAAAATTGTGGTAATAATTTCTAATTAAGTTAAAAATAGTCAAGCCTTTGTAAAATGTATTTTTATTTTGGTGTGTGACACTTCTAATGGTTATTGAATGTCATATTTAAATTCATATTGATTTAATAGTTTAAAAACCTTCTAAGTAAATAATAATTATCGTTTATTGAATAAGTCTTAAATGTCTCAGTTTACAATAAAAAGAAAATTCCCAAATTTTTCTAAAATACATAAAAAAAAAGAGTTATTGTTACTAATTTCTTTAATTTTCGATTATATTTTCTGTTTTAAGTGATTAAATCTGTGCATAAATTGATATGTATAAAATTTATATCTACAGAGCAAATTGGGGTAATTGAAAAAAATGTTACTATAAATGTAGAGTTAAATGTCAAACCCTGAAAAAGTTAAAAATCAAATTATTACTAATAAATGTTCTATGTACTCAAAGTTTTATTTTTGTGTACATATTATTATTATCAAAAAAATCATTTCTAGATCAAATTTTAGTTTTTTAGGTAATATCAATTTCAAGTGTCATGCTCATTACTACACGAAAAAATAAATGGTAAATATAGCAACAACTCTAATAAAAACAATTGGTATAACTCAATGAATATTTGGGTTAACCGAATATTTAGTTATTCCAATTGCTTTATTTGCGGTTGTCACTTATTAACCGTATATATGGTTATTCTGGCATATTTTTTTCTGTTCACTTGATTTAATCTAATATAATAACTTTAATTTGATTTAAATATCTTGAGCATTTATATGAAAAGTAATGATTTTTTAATAAAAATATATAATTTTTTTTATAGTAATTCTATTTTTAGGTATAATAAAATGACAAATGTTATGATTGAAAATAATGGGTTGTAAATATGTAATAGAGCTATAGAATATATTTTTATTGATAATTTTTACTGTTTTTCTTTTTGATATAACGTTTTTTTTTATTTCCTGAAAAACTTTTTTTATACCATGACACATTTGATATTTTTACTCTTTGTATATTTGCGAAATGTTTTATTTTACAACTCACGTTTTTTTTCTTTAATATTTGTTAAATAAACTGTACTAGAAAAAAAATTAATCAGACATGGAATCTACAGCGAAATTCCCAACTTTAAATAGATGTAAATTTTAAAATATTTTTAGTCGTCTTTTATTGTTAAAAATAATGTTTTGCTTTTTTTAAATATTTGTTTACAAAAAGTTGATTTGTTATACACTATAGAACAAAACCCAATGCAGTAAAGACGCGGCGTGTGTAAAATCTGAGTAAATGAAAAACTAACAGTAATGAAAATCTCTATCATAAAACATTTCGGCGAATATGTGTAAGTACAAAGTTGAGCAATACATAACTAAATTAGTAGTTGTTAATGATTTCGGTAAAACTCGAATGACTAACGATTAATTTTGTGATTTCGAACTAAAATATTGATAAAAAAAAATTATAATTTAACTACACATCATTATTTTTTATTTTCTCGGAGAAATGGTCTTCATTAAATAAAATCATATTCATAAGTATACATAAGATACTATGTGGGGCAAAAAAAATTGTTATTTTTTTTATTGCTATAAAATTATTTAATTACATCCGATTGAGCATGGTAGTTGAATTTTGCGGAAACTAACACATTGTAGCTATTTTACTATATATGAAAAATTATTTATTTATTATGTTTTATCAAAGCTATAGCTCCGCACTAATAAATAAAACGAAAGTAGACACTAATAATTTTATATTTACTTAATAACTTTAGTTAGGCTAAGATTTTTATTTCAATAAATTATGATTTCTGTTTTTCTATATATTATTTTTGTTTCTATTACATCATCACTGCCAATTTAACTATTCCGTGTTTTCATTACAAATACACAAATCTTAATTCAATGATTTTTGATTTTTCAAAACTACAGACAATAGATACAAAACACACACAAATATAAGATGTTTTAAGGCAATTGCAGTCTATTTTAATTTTGCACTTGCATGTAAAAATAAAAAAAGAAGAAACGATTTTTGTTTGAATTCTTTTTTATATTCTAAATTTTCCTTATTTTGATTAAAAGTCTTTATTTGATTACAGTAACTTTCATATTAAACCTATACTGTAAGTGGTCACAGTTAGTATTGAAGCTATGTCAAATACAGATTTAATTATTGGTCCGACAATATTAGGAACTTCATAACAACTGACAGACTTGTTGTCTATTTCTATTACTGTGGTATAATGTTCGGAAAAAAAATATTTTGTTAGGTGTTTACTTACAAATAATTTCTTTGTATAATTGAATAATAAACAGTCAAAATCTTTCCGTGTTATTTTCTATGCAGACATAACGAAATATAAAAATTTAGAATTAAATTAGTAAATAAAATTAATTATGTGTGACAAATAATGTAAATGCTTACGAATTCTGTAGATATTCTATCAATTTTCTAGTACATACCGTTGATAACATCGATAACCACAATGGATGAATATTTAACATGATTTTACGAAAAGTTTAAAATGATAATACATACCATTACTAAAACTAATAATATTCACATGTTAAAAATTATTAATATTAGACTTTAATATACATAAAATATTTATTATTTATTCGTTGAACGATCATTGCTTTCATAACGACCTCAAAACATTAGTGTTGAATTTAATGTTAATAAGAGCTGTGATAAATTCTAATAATTTTTTATAATAAATTATGTTTGGTTAAATAAATAATACTTATAAGGGTTCGTCAACGATATCGAAATCGCAGATTTTTTCGTTTTTCCCACGATATAAATTTTTATATATTACGATAATCTTTAAAATAATTTTTAAAAAAAAATATTTTTAATTTTGACAACATTTTTAGTCAATACATTAATATATTTATGACGTTTTATATAATTGTATAAAAATATAAAACGTATAACATAAAAACATATTTTATCTATACATTTCAATGTACTCTTTAAAATTTGATAATTTTAATGGATTTTTAAGTTTCCAAAAAATACCAATATACCAAAGATTTTCAATAACAGATCACATAAAAATCTTTTTAAGCCAAAAGACATTCACCAGAGATATTAAAAACTCGCACTAGAACCCTTTCGTTTTTCAGTCGAAATTCTGAGTTATTAGTGTAAACACTAAATGAAGTCTTAATGTATAAACTAGATGTATACGTAAATGTTATCGTTATTATTATATCGTTATAATAAATTGATTATTTACTATACCTAATGTAATATTTTTAAAAGTATAAACCATATTATAATTTTTTTCTTTTAAAAAGTTTTTTAAATAGTATCCTATATTCTACAATTTTCAAAAAAAAAATATAGGTCCTATTGTCCCTCTCTCCCCTTTAAAAAATAATCCAACTGGATTAACGGCTTAAGCTTTTGGGATCATCTCGAATTTTACTAAATTAGTCATGGGTTTTTTTGCTTTTTTTTTATTAATTTTTTTATGGCTTAAATTACATTTCTTAAAATATAATTATTATTTTTGGTTTTACTGTGTAAATAATATTGAACTTATAAATATTTTTAAAAATAAAATAAAAAGTAAATAAAAATACTTTCATTCTTTTAAATACAAGCTAATACTTATCGTCAGATGAGAGAGAGTCAAGGTCAGTTGATTGAAAAATATTTAGATTGAAGGCTAACGTAATACTAAAACAAAATTATGTAATTATTTGTAACATTAGTCGTGTATTTCCTTAAAAACAACTAATGAAGACATTAAAATGTATCTTATTTTATAAATATGTTAACCATTTAGATAAGTAAAGTAAGAAAATTCCTTACCGTTACACTCAATCATCTTTAACAAATTTAATTAAAGAAGAACATTAGTGAAATATGAAATCTTTATCCAATCGTAATAATAATTGACGAACTCATTATTGTTGAGATATGGACAAATATTAATATGCATATATTGAAAGTGTTGACTTTCTGTAAACATACAAACACTATAATTAACTATAAAAATAATATTTGATATGTTAATTAGTTAAGGAAAATCTAATCAAAACTATAAGTGTACACTATCATCTTAAGTAAATTGATAAAACCATAATATAAAAATTGTACACATAATTAAAAGAAATTAACTTTTACTTATTTATTTCACCAATTTTCAAGTGAATTATTATTTTAAGATTATTTTGACATTGAAAAAATAATGAGTATTTATATATCCTATTTTACACTATGCGTTGTGCACATAAAATATACATGGCGATCAATTTTGGGTAAGACACTTATTTTCTAAGAAACTATTGAAATTTTTCAATTTTTATAAAAAAAAAACTATTTGGTTCAAAAAAGTGCAATAACATGTAGTCAAATAGAATTGTATTTCACCTCTTCAGGAATAAAAAATCTTAACTTAAATTTAAAAAAAAAAAAAACCCAAATATTCAACTTGTTAATATTATACAGAAAATAATTACAAACAAATTTTGTTCTTATAATTTTTTTAAATTAATCAATCGCTCATCTGTTACTGCATGTGAAAGATTAATAACTTGAAATCAATTTGCTAATATTTTAATTTTAAGAATAACAGAAGTCTTTATTTTTCCATTTTAATACATAAACTATTTTTTATTGACTAAGGAACTATTCAATACACGGGATTTTTATCTTTAATAATCGCATTCATTTATTCAACGCATGTTTATTTATAAGCACATTGTTTGTCACTGTTATAGAAAACTTTTATTGATAATCATTATAAATAAAAATGTAAGGCCTATGGAAACAAATTATTTCTACTTCAGGTGTTAAGAAAAACCAAATGAATTTTTAAATAAAATTAGAATTGTTGTTTTTCGTTTAATATTTAAATATATTATAACTGTAACTTATAATTGTGTTTAACGTTATTCATAACCAACAACATTTTTAGTTTATTGATATTACATGGATCTGGTTTTTTGATTATATTTTGACAATTTTTTTTTTTTTAAACTTTACAATTATAATTCATTTAGTTTTCTTATCCTGTATAAAAACCAAATTTTTAAATAATATAAAAACGCAAACATATGTTCGAAAAAAAAAAAATTCAAGAACAAAATTGTTATTAGTTTATTTCTTTTTTAATTGTATCTTTGTCATTGTATCAAGTTAAGAATAAGAATTATCATTTAAGAACATTAGTTTTTTATCTCTGAGTAGTTTCTGAGTGGTAATTGTTGTTTATGTAAATTGTTTTTTTTAATTTTGGGGCTTGTCAGATTTCTAAAATAATCGATTCAATTAATTTGGATATGTCTATCTAGCTTTATATTAAAATCCTATTAGTAGAAATTTGTGAGATGACATCTATATTTTTATGTAATGGTAATGAAAATAGTATACATCTAAATTTTATTATGTGGGATTTAGCATTATCATCCTGCATTAAAAGTAAATATTTTGGTCACTTTAAGTCATGGAAATATAATATTAAAATGTACTTATTGTATTTGTTTTATTATCTAAATTATATATTTTTTAAGTTCTTAAAATCACTTGTTCTACAATTAATTGTATAAACAACATAAAATAAAGATAGAAATTTAATTTTCAGGTTATTTTGAAAAATAATAATATTTCTATTATTACAACGACAAAAACATTGTTAAATGTTTTTTTTTTGGTTGGTTTTCACTGTAAAAGTAAACTGAATTATATTATGGATTTTATATAACCGAGTAGATCAAAGTATTATCTTTAATTAATGAATGCCTGATCTTAAATTCGGAAAAAAGTGGATAATGCATTTCTATTGCTAAACTTAAACGAGTAGCATTTTCATATTAATATTTACAATGTTGTGTAATAATATTCACAAAGTTAAACATCTAGAAAAGGTAAGTCACGCATTGTTTCTATTATTTTGTTAGAAATTATGTTAAATAGGCACGTAAGTTATCCAATTTTTTTTTTTGAAACTGTTGACTAATTAAAATATACTTTACTATTACGATTTTAGATGAAACGGTTTTAATAACCAACATGAATAACAACAATTCAAACATTATCGAAATGACTAATTGGAATTTTCCTGATAATTGTACAAATTCTGAACAATATTGTAAAAATAGAGCTGGATGGTCTAATTATGAATTCAAAGTTTTTTTCTTCATCATAGGATCAGTAGTAGTTATTATTGCACTATTGAGAAATGGATTCGTGTGCTATGTTGTAAAAATTTCAGTCCATATTCATATGTTTATTAATAATTTTATCGTGAACATTTCAGTTTGTAACTTACTAATATCGTTACTATATTTTCCATTATTAATTTACTTTTTGATATTGAATTACTGGCCCCACTAAGTGCAAACATTTGTATTATGTATACGTATATGACTGCGGTTGTTGTCCAGGTATATCTAAATCCTTTAGGCATAAAATTGTTTAAATGTATATGAATTTTTTTAATACCGATTTTTTACCAAATTGTTTTAGAAATAATAATTTGAATTATTATGTATTTATTTTATTTATTAATTATAATAATAATTATTATTATAATTTTAAATTTGATCAAACTATAGGCAATATAATGGTATATTAATAAATTAATTAATTTTTTAAATACAATAATTTAATTGAAGTATATTTTTCGGCTATCTCGACTTTTTTAAATTGTTCTGAAGACATAAATAACCAAATAATTTTAGTATTAAACTCTGTATGTTTGATATTCTGTTTTAATATGAATTACAATATTAAATAATTAAGTAGAAAAATAAGTGTTTATCAAGAAACAATATAATTGTTAAAAAGGTTTATGGGGGTGATCTACAGAATTAAAATGTATGATGTCATTAATGAACAACAGAAATATATTATGGTTGATGAACTGAGAAAAACACGTACCAAAAATAAACCAAAAAAAAAAATTCTCAATAATTTTATTAATATTAATAATTTTATTTTTATTTTTCGATTAATGATGTGGTTCATGAATTCATAAGTGAATCACACTGTACATGCTAAAAATCAAAGTTCACCACTTTATTTTACCCACTTCAAGGGCGGATCCAGAATTTTTTAAGGGTTACCCAAAAAGTTTTTAGTCGTCAAAATTAATTTTTTGCTTTTTATCATCATCCAAAATTTTCTTTTTTAGTAGGTGATGAAAGTCAATGAGTGCAGGTCGTTTCCTGCATCCCTTGGAATCGCTACTATCCAAAGATACGTTAGAGACGTACAGATGAGATTTTTATTTTTTAATCACTGTTTTTTTCAAAGACTGAGCCTTAAATACAATTTTAAATATTCTTTTCTTAGTTTTTTTTCTCAAGTATACTCAAGTTCTATATGATATAAGTATACTTATATCATGTTGAATATAGTAAAATATGTTATTTTCAGTTTTTATCATGAAGTAATTATTTTGTTTATTGATTTAATAATATATTTTATAATTTTATTAGGTTAGTACATATACAATGGTGGCCATAGGTATTAATAGATTCATAGTGGTAATATGGCCTATTAAAAGGCAAATAAATAGACATTATACCAAAACTATAATAATGATTGTATGATTTATACCAATCATATGCTTTTATCCAATTATATATATTACTAAAATATGACTATCAACTTTATGGTATCAGGTAATATTTATTACTCAATAATAACATATTACATTAAATTAGTCACTAGTTTGCTTTTTTTTTTTCTAAAAATACGTCTTTTAACTTATTACATAATAATAATTAACATATTGATAAAAATAGTTCACAGTACTGAAGAATTATTGTAATAGCATATTAAATAAAAGTATATTGAATATTATGTGTAAAACTTATACTAAATATTTTATTATAACTCACATCTTACTACATAGTATTAAGATTTTGATTGGATATTACAAAATTTTTAACACTAGTCATACATATTAACTTATTTAGTCACACAAGTAAAAAATATTAAAATCGACTTCCTTAAAAAAATATCATTTTTAACTTTTTTGTTTTATCAATGGAAACATTTTAATTAGTTTTCTAGACATAATTTTTTTTTATTATTAATTAATAGACAAATCTAAATCAATGGAGAGAGGAAATTTAAAAATCGAAAATTTGTATTATATTTGCTTTAAGAAATGTTGTCTTTATATTTAGAATTCGTCGTGGAAAAATGAAAATTTACAAAATATTAATAATTAAGTATCATTAATCATGCATATTATTTTACCAATATCTACTTTAACTATTGTATATTCGAGTATTGGAATTTTTTTATGGCGAAAGAAAATTCCAGGCGAAGCGAACAACGCTCGGGATTATTACATTACAAGATCAAAAATTAAAGTATGCAACAAGATTAATCAATTTTTTGTAATCAAAATCATATGTCAATATTTATATTATTTTATTATTCTTTAGATAATCAAAATGATGTTTATTGTTGTAATTGCATTTAAGATTTCTTGGCTACCATTAAGTGTGTGTCATGTGAGTAATATTTTTATATTACACCTATAAAATATTTTTTAGAAATGTATACTATGTAGTGTATTATAATTTACAGTTTTTAGACTATTGTCATATATTTCATATTATATTTCATTAGTATCATTTATCATTAACTAATTAATTAATCGAAAATATAAATAATATTGAGATCTTTTTTTGGTTTCATTTAGATATATGTTTTTGTCAATTTAACAACCATAATATATTTTTCATGTTCATCACTTATACCTAATAAGGATATCAACTTTATTTTTTCAAATAAGTGTTGTTAGTTAGATCTGTTCTACTCTGAATGTATGTTAACTGTGAAATTAAATATGCATTGCAGCGCGATTCTTCAATCGACCCGTCATTATTATTAAGTATGTGGGATGAAAATGCATCAAAGTGGTTTGAGCTTTATTGGTTGGGAATATTGCATACATATTATTATCCTATAATATACTACTGGATGAGCAGAGAATATCGAAATGCGATGTCTAATGTTTTACATAAATTATCAAAATAAATTACATTTTTAAAATTCAGAAAAAAACTAATACAAACTAATAATTTACAGTGTTTTTAAGATCCAATTTAGTTAAAGAGTTGTCGCCTAGCAAATTAAAGGAAACACTAAGCTAGTAAAAGTGGTATAAATGTTTAAAGAATTAAAATGTTTAACCGTCAATTATTAGTCTCCAAGTTAGTAAGAAATTTATATAGAATTTTAGAAGTATACGCAAGTCTTTTATTTACTGTTTCATTATGTTTTTGTGTCAAATACCGTAGGAATACAATAAAAACACTGTATATTTGGGATCTAATATAATGTGAATCTGGCTTAGTAGATACAGTATAGAATCTGTACTATAGATTTAAGTGGAACAGTGATTAACATTACTAGCATAAAACTCCCCAATGTCAATGTTTACAAAGACTAAGAAAAAACATTTTAATAGAAATTTTACAAATGTTCACTTTGACCACCTATTACTTATAGAAAAAGTTGTCAGGAAGTTTTCATTCTTTAATCTTAATGTATATTTTAAGAAATTTAATATTGTTCAGATTTAAAGAACGTAAATGTTCAGGAATATTATCAAAATTTAAATAAAAAAATATTGTGTTTAAACAGATCTTGTAATTAGAGTTTTAATTAGATGTTTGTAAAATTGATAACAAAAGAAAGATAATTATTCTAACGATGCTTGACAAAAATTAAATTGAGATTTATGAATTTTTAAAATGTGTAGTAAAATGAAATAATTCACTAATTTTAATGAATATTTTTTAATTTTTTACATTAATGTCCAATTACTTATTGAAAAAAAATTAAATGAATGATATTTAAAACACTACTGTATTCTGTTTAATGTTTGTATTTCCAAAAAAAAATATGTTAAAAAGTAAATAAAAATTTTGTAATGTGCCATTTAGTTTTTATAAAATTATTTCAATGAAAATTGAACACAAAAAATATCAATATTTACTGTTTATTGATACTTGTATTTTTCGTAACATTTTTTATTATTATGGCAAGTGAGGTAAATTTTCCCAAATAATAGCGTTGGTAACTTTTACTAGATACGTTTTGTGATCTTTTGACGCGTCGTTGTGAAAAATCGATTTTTTCGAATATTTTTTTGGGCAAACAGAAACAAAATACAAAATAAACATAATATAGTACATCCATTTCTTCTCAGTTACGAAGNATAGCGTTGGTAACTTTTACTAGATACGTTTTGTGATCTTTTGACGCGTCGTTGTGAAAAATCGATTTTTTCGAATATTTTTTGGGCAAACAGAAACAAAATACAAAATAAACATAATATAGTACATCCATTTCTTCTCAGTTACGAAGTGACGCTAATATTAATTGAACTGCTTTTTTTTCGCCTTGCACTCAGTTTTCATTTTTGTAGTAAAAGTTCGATATCAATAGTTATTTCGTTAATTTTTTGTTTAAAGTATTCAAGAAATTTTATTTTAGTTTTGGAACTTATAATTTTTAATTTATTAACATTTAATTAAAGTAGTAGAAAACAAAGTAATAAAATTTTGTCAAATGTATAATGTATTTTCTAAAAATATTAAGTAAATTTTGTACTTTTCTTACTAGATAATAACAGATCAATTCAACCAATTATTTATTATTTCTATAGAATTATTACCAACATTACAATTTTTTAAAAATGGGAACTATTTTTAGAAGCTCAAATAAAATTTCATATGGGAATAATTATAACTATTAAACCATCATTTGGCAAAGCTTGTTCAATGATTAGTAATTATTTTTTATTGGTACAAATAAATGTTTAGTAATTATAAAAATTGTAAAAAAAAACGTCAAATATAATACATAATATTGCATTTTATGAAATATGTATTTATTCAACAAAGATATTTATTAGAACAATTAATATTTTAAAACTTAAAGTTATTTGATTATTGTGTTTTGTCAAAACTAGACTTATTTATAATGAACTATTTAGTAGACAAGTAAATATTGGTACTTTAATGTGACTATTTGTAAACATATTACAATGTACACCATTCTTAGTCTTAATCTTTAATTATTCTTATATAGTATTTTTTGATGGAAATAATATGTGTCAATATTTTTAACTGTGTTAGACTAAAAAAACCCAGCACAGGGGGGTCGCGGCACAGTGGTGACGTGGCATAGATGGATCAAGTATAATGATATCTGACAGTGATTAAAATCACTATAAAAAAAAAACGCTTCGATGCAAATCTTTAGATAGTGTTTAATTTTAAAAAATTGGTGGATTATTCCAAAAGCTACATGATCTGCTAGTTCATTATTAATATCCTAATTAAGATAAAGTATGTAGAATGAGAAAGGGATTATTAAAAAATATTATTTCTTATAAAAAAAAAATGTTGATCCATACACTTTTAAATATGTCATAGCATTATAAAGTTAAAAATGTAAATAATAAAATCGAGAATTTTCACATAATAATAGCATTTGGTAGCCATTTTCACCGTGAAGATAAAATAAAGTCCGAAATTTTTTTTTTGCATAATAAAGTAGATTACATTAACTTTAATTTAAGATATAAATAAAAGTGTCAGACCTTCCGGAACATTTTCAAAAGTTAAGTTGAAAAAGTTAATTTTTTTGTGAAAAAGGTGTCATTTTAAATCCCCCCTTGTGGGCAGGTTAAGGGTTAAATTTATGAAAAAAATATACCAAATGAAAAGTAATGATATTATGCATCTATATAAAAAAGAATTATATTGATATGTTTATTTTTGAAAAGTTATGGCACTTTTAAGTTAAAAAAATTGAAAAAATTTCGAAAATTAGCGATTTTTAAATTCGTTTTTTTTTTGGAGGTTTCCCCCATTTACGGGGAACGAGGGAATTTTTTTCAATTTTTGAGGGTAATGTCTTCGACTAGATACAATTTGTGATCTTTTGACGTATCATTGAAAGAAATCGGTTCGGTGAGAGCTGAGAAAAAGTGGTAACAGAAAAAAAAAAAAAAAAAAAAAACACACATCTTAGTAAAATAATACCTTCTCAGCTTCGCATCGAAGCTAAAAGGACTATACAAATATTCAATTTAAATGAGGAATATAAATATTTATTAAAAAAATTGAACTTTTCATTATGAATTGTTATTTGCCGTAACTTTATTGGTATAGAAATAATTATTGAAAATCTTTGGTATATTGCACGCATTTAGAATCTTAAGAACCTATTAAAATTTTTAAATTTTCAAGAGTTTATTGAAATATATAGATAAATCAGTATTTCGGAAGTTATTATCATTTTAAAATGTAAAGAAAAAATTTAAAACATGAAATAAGCGCAGGTACAACTATCTTTATTTTTAGTCATTTATCAACTTTATTCCTTTTCCTGTTCTGATATAAAAATTTTAATAACTTCTGTAGTATCAATCCAAAAATTATTGTCGACTAGTCATTTTTTAAATTAATTCGTTTTTTATATTATAAATTAGTTAAATAACTATGTTACCATTAAAAAAAATAAAGTGACAACCCTATGTGTTATAAGAGTTAATACTATATAATAATAATAATAATAATAATTAATAACTGATAAATAAAGAAATGTAAGTAGAAAATCTAATTTTTTTACAATGTTATATTTATTTTGAGAATAATTGAGTTGGTTATAACAAACGGATCACTTTGTATAATGTAACTAAATTTAATAATTAAAAATTATATATAAATCTAATCTATAAAATTTGACTTATACTTTGGTGTACACTTTTATTTGTTATTATAATACTTGAAATTTTTGCTTTTATTGTAGTAACAAATATATACTTTTTTCTTGGAATTAGATTTTTTTTAAAGTTTCAGTTTCTTGTATATATTTTTAAGTTTTTATATTATGATCCAGTCATTAGTTAAGTTGGAGGCACTTTATAAGTAGCTTATATTATTAATTATTATAATAAAATTATTCAAATATTTATTTTGTTCAATTATAGATGATTTATAATTTATTATTTCACTTAAATTAAATTTCACTCTTAAAAAGTTCTCATTCATTTTTAAATAAAAAGAACAAAGCATTAATGATCTTCATTAAATACATATTTAACTTTTATAAGCTGTTCGAAAAGAGCAAATAGGAATTTTATTTCTAAGAAAATTAACTTATTTTGCTAGAAGCGTGACAGTTTAAACTGTCACAAGCACGTAAACAAAGATAAAAAATACGCTGAATTTATTTAGTAATATAAAAATGTTACCAGGTCGTTGTAAAAGCTATGAATTGTTTATATTCTTTATAAAATATAGTTGAAATACGAACATTGTTGAGAGGTATAATGAGTTGTTAAATAAGTGTACCTAGAAAACTGTTTATAATGGATACTGACATGATCATGAAGTTTAATCAAGAACGACAAAACAAGAAGTGAGATATATGTCAATGAGATTTGAAAATTATGTTTGATATATTTCATTACACTGAAATAGCAAAACTTTACTTGAATCGATTCAACGTAATTTTGTTTTTGAAATAGTCTGTCACTCCTTATGCTTTATAAAGTCAATTAATGTATTCAACCTATTTTTTAAAAAAATTAATCATTAATTTTTCTTATAATAATTTGTTTCATAACTCTAATTATTAAAAATATCAATAATGACTGTTTAATAACAATTGTATTTTTGGGAACATTTTCTTTTATTATGGTAATTGAAAGGAATTTTCTCATATAATGACGTTGATAACATTAACTAGATACTTTTGTAATTTTTTGACGTACTATTGAGAAAAATCAGGAGAAAAGTAATCATGTATACTGACAAAAATAAAAACAAGATTCAGTAAAACCAATTCCTTCTTAGCTAAGATCAACACTAAAATAATAAATACAAATAATACATTTGAGATAAGATAAGATGAAAAAATGTATGAATCAAAATCATTTTTTTTAATATTGACACCTTTGGTATTTTCTTTTCATTTAATATACATTTTTTGAAAACCTGACCCTTTACTTGCTCACAGGAGAGTATTCAAAATAGCAAATTTTTCAATTTAATTTTTGAAAATGTTTCGGAGTTATTACGTCCTTGAACATATGTTAAATTAAAGCTTATATTACGTCTATTAATTAAAAAAAAAATTGTCTCAACGATCTATCTTCAATGTGCAAATGATTGCCGTAGTTAAAAAACACATTAATTTTGTATTCAATTTTTTTTTTAATACCTTGCAATGGTTGTCGTAGAAATGAGGCTACTGATTCTTATAAAATTTACAAGAATTTAACTTACATTGAATATATATTTAAACTTATTTTGAAGTTATTTTCGACTTTGAATTTTTTAACTTGTTTAAATTGTCCTTTTTAACTAATTGTACAAGCGGTGTATAGTTGCTACGATAGTAATAATTATTTCATTCACACAGGATTTTTTAGTTAAAGTAAATCATCAAAATTAATTAAGTTCTGAACATTTCAATTGTAGAATCGTTTTAAACATCATGAGTTACATAGAAATCATGACTACGATATCTATTGATATGATTATGATAAAAATGCAAAAAAATGATTTTAACTAAATATTGAGTTTTTCTCATAAATGAACTATAAATACTGAATTTAAAATTTCCTGACTACATATTAATCTTATTTGTGATTCATTTTGTAATGTTGTTTTATATCTGTTCATAAAAATTCTTAGCTCTCACTGGACCAATTTTGATCAATACGTTAAAGGAACACGATTTTAATATAGTTACTAAATATTGGAACAACTCCCTTAATTTTTTGAAATTTAAACAAATATCTCAAAATTATGCTACTGTAAAAAATAACAAATTCAAACAACACATTTTTTAGTCACATATCTTCACAAATAATAAGGGTATAAAATTTGTTATTATGCTAAATGATGCAGTAAATCATATCAATAAAATGAAACATTTTTTAATGATTATAGACCAATATATATTTTGCTAAATTAAATTTTTATGGTGATTTTATATCTGAAATTATATTTTTTCTATCACCTTTGTTTTGAGAATATTACTTATTCGAAAATGAGTATTCTTATTTAAAAAAAATTGTAGTCAATTTATTATTGATTAACCTATTTTTTTGGTCCTTTAAAGTTGAATTTTATTCAACCTTATAATTTAAAAATGCTGAACTTTTAAACACTATTTTAGCTCAACTTACAAGTAATATATTTATATTGATATACTGAACATAATAAATTCTGCTTGTTATATATTTTATTAATTGAAATTTATTTATTGATAATTTGTACGTAACCTTATAATAAAACATAAATATTTGTTATATTAATTAGAAAGATTTTGTTATTATTTAGCCCATGTGCGAAACTCTACCTTTGTGTTAGACTAGGTCAAAAAAATTGGATCCTGTTTTCAATGACTTGTGTTTTATTTTTTTTGCTATCTAGTGAAACTAGAACCGCTCAACACACTGAACCATACATAATTGTTGATCTCACTACAGTCTTATAGGACTTTCAGTCTCATTGAAATTCTCTTATCGCATAACACACCAGACGCTATACTTTATTTCATCCACCCGCACTTAATTCTATCAGGTCCTAACTTATTGTCACTGATCTTGCCATAGCAAATATTAACTTTTTTCTTCTTCAATATTTTTACTAATTTTCTACTTCTGTGCCATCCATTTTTTTTTATTATTTAGGGTTCAACGAACGGACTTTCTTTTTATTGTTGTGTTCTATATGACACGATGGTCAGTTTAATACACATATATTGAATTGAAAAATTTCTCTCGTTGTTATTTTATACACACAACTTTACTTTCAATTACTTCATTGAAAAAAAAAAAATTTCATAAGTTGAACATTATTTTTAGTCATTATTTGTAATATTTTTAGGTGATTTAGGTGAACAATCATGAATAAATCTGGAATTGAAGATAGCTCATTTAACTTTTCGGATATATTTTCAGTAACTTCGTGTCAACCAAAACCATTTGAGAAGCCTTTAGATTTGATTATAGCAAAATGTATAGCTCTTGTAATAGGCTTACTTGTTATAGTAATTGCACTTATTGGAAATAGCCTAGTATGCCATGTTGTATTACCTTATAAGCAAAGGATGAAAGTAATCAATGTATTAATAATGAATATAGCAGTTTGTGATATAATGATAGCCATTTTCCATTTGGCATATTTGCTAAACATAATATTCTTGAATTATTGGCCCTTTGGTTACATTCCATGTTGTGTCTATACATATATTTATAATTCAATACTCGAAGTAAGTATCATATTGCATTTCTGTTATAACACATTTTAATCAAATACATCAATTAATTATTTTTTTATTAACACTTGTTTATTTTCATAAAGTATGAAGCATATAAAAATATTAATTTTGTGACACACATATACAGTGTGATTTTTTGATAAAAATGTATAGATTAAAATTTGTTTTATTCTTTAACACCATAGTAAACATCAATTTTAGTGTAAGAAAAAATGATTTCTATGATACACTTTAAAGGTAACTTTCAAAAATTAAATGGAAACCTATTATTATATTTTATTACTAAATGGTGAACGGTTTATATATAATTTAATTGGTCGATATTCACTTTTGCAATTACATTATTTTTTGAGATATTAGCATTTAAAGATTTAGAAAAGGTGATGAGCGGAGTAGTGTTTAGCGACACACTATTTTTCTATGATGTACAGATGAAAATTCTTCAACTTTGCGCACCGCTCTCGCACTTCCCTTTTTATAATAAGATTTTATCCTCAAATTGACAGTCAATCTCACCACTAATACAACACATGTGAAAAGCAAATACCGACTTTCTTTTATCATAGTTATGTTTGAGAAATTTTGTTATATCTGTTTATTATCGTAGTCTTGTTCTTATTCATATGTAATATTTTATAATTTACCATTTATGTAGATTTCATTTTATTTTTCATATTACTCCATTTAGTTAATTTAGCTATAGCTTAATGATTTTTATGTATATTTTTCTTCGGTAATTGGTCTTGTTCCGTATTTAATTATAATAATATGGTTATATATATATTTCGAGTATTGAGTGGTTTTTTGATAAGCGGTTCACCATGTATAATGCTTTGCGTAACTAATAAGACTGATTTTTCAAAAAAAAAAAATTGATAATTTTTTTTAAAGGTTTTTAGTTTTATAAAATAAAATTTCTATTGAAACATTTTTTTTATAAATTCAACAATTAAAATAAATGTGAATATTAAAATACAAAAATTAAATAAACTTATTAGTAATTTTTATGAAATTATACATTACTATAAAAATAATAGTCTTATTTAAGTTATCATTTTTATTTAGGTTAGCACTTTTACCATGGTGGCTATCAGTATTGATAGATACATAGCAGTAATGTGGCCTTTCAAGAGTAGATCTAATGGCCGTAAAGCCAAGTACATCGTTTTTATAATATGGATGTTAGCTGCATTGACATCAGCTCCATTTTTATTTTCAAATGCACTACAACAACCTTCTATTTGGTACCAGGTAATTATATAATCTTGTTTTTATAAATTATTATACTTAGCGTAGAATAAACTCATTAAATATTTTTTGTTTAAAATTATGTATTTTATAGATTATGTGCTAAAAAAATATTTGGTCCCTGACAATGCTCTTAAATTCATTTTTACTTTTTTGTATATTACATTTTAGTGCAAATTCTGATATAAGTAGAACAGTTCTTTGTTAAAAACTCAAAATATAAAATTATTTCTATAATATAATGTATGTATTTTTAAATTTTGAACATTGACAAAATTAGATTAGACACTTTTTTATAGAATCTAAGGAATATGATCTAGAAATAGGTCAGATGTGCCAATTTTGATATAATTTCTGGGAAAATATTTACTATTTTTTTAGATTATGCCATTGTACTATTGTAAATTATCTTTAGCTTTTCCACTGGTTATAATTATATATTGATATTATTTTAAAGAATTATGAAACGTAATGTGGTGTTATGCAAGTAACTTTTAATTTCTGCATAAATTATGTCATTGATAGATTTTCTTATAACTGAAAGTAACATTTCAACTCCGCATTTACTCTAATTATATTGAACATTATACTATGTTAAAATATTAAACACTAATATTTGTTAGACATTATGTTTGGATGATGTTACGTCCAAAAAATATTTTAGAAACTTATTGAATTTATTGACCAGCTTTGGAAAATTTTGTGTACTTTTTATGTTCTTTAAACTTAAAATTCAAATTTGATTTTTACGAACTAATATTTGATTATGAATTATTAACCCTTTTATAAGCTCAAACATCTCATCATTATTTTACCACTCAGGTCAAGGAGAAAATCACACAGAAGTTTACAATTTATAAATCTTTTTTGAAATTACTATTAAAATTAAAATTATACTACAAAAAATATTATTCAGTAGTTATGACGTATTGAATGTGTAGCATTAGTACATACATAAATAACTTTTGTGTGAAATAGAGTTAATATTTTGTGTTAGAAATGCGGTCTTTATATTTGTTTTCCTAAAATGGAAGGCAATATTGATGGTTTTTACAATGAAATTTTGAGAGCAAGTCATATTTATGTACCATTTATTGTGCTATTATTTACGTACATTAGTATTGGAGTAGTTTTATGGCGTAAAAGAACACCAGGCGAAGCTCAAAAATCAAGAGATCAAAAAATGGTGAAATCAAAAATTAAAGTAACATAAATTAATTTAAATAATAATTCATTTAGTTTATAAATATAAATTATTATTTTTTTATTCAGATGGTAAAGACAATGTTAGTCGTTGTAATAGCTTTTATGATTTGTTGGATGCCGTTTGGTTTTTATTATGTAAGTAAAATAGAGTATACTTATAAATAAATAAGAAAGATTACAAATATACGTGGGCTAACATTAGTATTTTATGTATTAATAGTGTAAAAATTAAATTGAATAAATAATTGTAAAAAAAGAGAATATTTGTTAATCGACTTAATTAATAAAAAGTAATAATTGTTATTTATTATGTTCATGAATTATGATCAACTTGTATCCTAATAATATTAACAAATTTATACTTTGTTATATGATTTATTGAACTTAAACTTTTTCAGAAGTTTGCTAAAGTTGAGTTATGGGTATCAATGTGCACTTGGAATGAATATGCACCGGTAACATTTTTACTATATTTGTTCGGCATGTCACATACTTGTCACAATCCAATTATTTATTTTTGGTTGAATGACGAATTTCGAAGAGGTTTTTACGCCGTATTTCGGAAAACGCCAATACTTAGAAGATCGAAAATTGTTCAACGATCCGCAGGATTAGTTCCATTGAAGGTAAAAATATCAGATGCAAGTTCAACGCGAAGTCAACCAAGCGTCTCAACAATAAATGCAAACTTTAGTCAATCATACAGCTAAATTATTAAAAATCAATCAAATGTTTTGAAGAAAATAAAAATTTCTAAAATTTTATTCCTTAAATCATTTTTGTCGATAATATTCTATCATTTCAAATAAAACTTTTAAATGACATCGGATAATTTTTTATAATAGTTAAAATACAAATTATTTTTAAGTCATATGCCACGTATAATTTAACATAACATTATGTTTAAATTTATGTTGGGTTACAGTGACATAGTATTTTTTTGGGAGTGTTTGTACAAAAAATATATGAACGCATAACATTTTTCTAGTTATTCTCAACTTGATAATTATACTTAATGCCTGATTTGAAAATAAAGCTGATTGAAGAGACATTGGCATTTTTTTCTTTGGCGAGCCACTGTCACAATATTAGCAAAAGTAAAATAGAATTTAATTTTTAAAAAAATTGTTGTATAATTAATTTGCTTTTGTATATATTTTAAATTTTTATTTACTTTTTAGTGAGAATTATTATATTTTTATGTGTTACATATATATATGTTGATAATATAAATGATATAGATATCTTGAAACTCAGTTTTTGGCCATATACTAGTTTTCATGCATTTTATGTAATGCACTATTTTTATTAATGAAGTTCTTCCTACTAATGTACCAAATGGTTTACATGTTTTAAAACTTCATCATTTAATAAAATCAAATTAAATTTTATTTATATTTTAGCTACTAATATAACTTTAAACTAGTTACTATTTACGACCATTAATTGTAAAAAATAATTAATCTACTGAATTATTCAGTTTTGATTTTTACTATATTGCTATTATAAGATAGATCTTATTTATACATATTTTAAAACTTTCTTGGATTGTTGTTGTAAATTGTAAGATTGTTGGATTGTAAATATTTTAAGTATTGGATAATTTAAGTAATTTTATATACTACTGTGTTTTTATAGTATTGAATAATAGACTTCGATAGAGATGTAACCAAGATTTTCATATCAAAATAAATTGTTGAACTTTTTTTGGTGATAATTTTATAAAAAATGTAAGTTTCACATGACTATGTGGCTATATTTATTTTAACAATTGTTTTAGACTAGTCATTTTCTATTTTATAAGCTAGTTAAATATGTGTATATAATCATAAAATATTTTTATGTTCATCTTGTATGTCTTATAGGGATGTCAATTTCATTTTTTTTTTTTATGACAACATACTTATTTAACATATTTACTAGCTCATAAAATAGAAAATTATGTAATTAAAAAAATGACTGGTTAATATCAACATTTACCAGTATTTCAGAAGTTATTAACAATACAAATAAATAACAGTTTAATTACAACCACGAGCCTGTAACTATCGCTCTCAAGATGGACTCTGCAACGAGTCCAAAACGTCGCTCATTACTGAAAAATTGGTTACATCCGTAAACATTTCAAGCAAACGACAATCTATGAAATCTTGTACACATTCAGATATTTCAATATCACAATGATTCGATGCTTTTTCGATTTCTAATTATTATTATTATTACATTAATAGATTTTCACACATGACTTTGTTTTTCTATATTTTACATCTTCTCATGAAACACTCGTGCTCATACCTTGACAGAAAAATATATTATATAATTTTTTAAGTAAATACATAGTAACTCAATCATTCTCATCTACATACAGAATTCTGCAATAAATTTTTGTATTCATTTTGAGTTAATAATTAGTTATAATCAAAACACTGAAATTAAAATATTATACAATAAAGATTTGAACAATAACACATTGAGTCATAAAAATATAATGAAGTTGGGTAACTGCGCGTAAAATAATAAAATAATTTCACTATTATATTTTTTTATTAAAAATATAAATGCTTTACAGAGTGATACTAAGCATGTTTGTCACCGTATTTTTGATAAATAATGAGACTGTAAAAAAAATATATTATTAAGGGTAGATTTTAGGGGTAATTTAAAAAAATTAAGTGACAACCTACTAAATTTTTTAAAATATTAAGTGAATATAAAATATATATTATATTTACATTTTATATTATAATATATAGTATATTAATACAGTAAATAATGTTGGATTTTTATTTTTAAGCTAAGTCAATTTTTTATACGTTTCAAAATATTATTTCTCAAAAATTGACTTAAAAACGATTTCGCGATGTATGATTTAAAAATGAATCTTCACTGTTTTTATATAATTAGTGTAATTCAACTTTTCAAAGTAGTAAGTAATCATGTATTTATATTTTGGTAAAAATATCAACCCTCTGTTTATAATGAAACGTTAATATCTCGGTTACCATAGAAGACTACAACAAAAACTCATACAACAAGCAAAGTTTGGTCAAATACTTCATTTGTATAATTTCACCATCATTACAATGGCGCACAGAACAAAATTATGTGATCAAGGTGGAATATTCAATGCTTCTAGACCTTTGAATTATAGTGTGGGGACACGTTCATTTTTAAATGGTAATGTTATTGTCTAATTTGTTAAAATTGATTTAAGTAGTGTAAGAACATTAATTACTATGTTCTTACCACTTATATTATACACGTTTTATTTCCATTTACTTAATTCCTAATACATATTAATTATCATAGAGAGAGATGCTGATGTGACAATTCTTCTCCTCTGTAGCCCAGAGCTACTGACGTTGAACTAACAAAAGGGCAGTTGTGTTTGAACTATAGAAATAGTTTTTAATGCCATTACTTTCGTCTTATTTATATTATTAATAACTTAACTTGTTTTATTCAATGACTCATCTATCGCCATCATAGCCAACTAACTCCTTCTCACTTGAATATACCTACTAACCAACTGTACTAGGATTCAGGTCAGACGTATTGTACATTACATATAACTTAGATTTACTGAATATATAAAATATAACTTTACTTTGTCGTTGACATAAAACAATGGTCTAACTTCATTATATAATCTATCTCTTGTAACTAAGGTACACGATTGCTTGTGTCTCCTTCAGGTAATTAAAACTCATTTAAGGATATAGGGACAATATTTGGGCAGACGTCGGGTAGATTGCGATTCTTGGTTTTAACTAAGATCCTCAAGTATTAAACAAGCCCCTAACATTGATATTAATTTTTTTTTTAAATAAAAATATTAACTCATCATTTTACCGTTTCTTATTATAATTATTTCAACACATGTTCATAATATTGCGAACAAATTTATACAACGAAATACAATTTTAATATCACAAAGAGTTTGTAGACAAATATTAATCAATTGTATCTAATTAAATATCTTGTCCTTTACCGTTAACTCGTTATACTATAACTTATATTCTACAAATAACTTAACTATAATTAAAAAATATCCATATGGCTTCTTTTGTTAATAACATGGTGGTGATCTTAAATAAATTAATACAAATTAAATTTAAACCTTTAAATTTTCAAATTACTATGAAATATTACGTTAATTTTTGACTTAGTTAACTTCAGCACTATCTATGAGATTAAATTTACGAGTGTGCGATTGGGATTTTTATCCAAACTAGATGACGTTAGTTACTATTGCAAAAAATTCAGTGTAATAATAAATGAAAATTATTATTTATTCATCAAAAACTTTTCAGTTTTTTGGATTAATAGCACATCTAAATAACAATTAAAGAGTTGTAATATTCTATATACACAGAGTGATTTATTTATCATGAACTACTCAATTAAATAGATGACAATTTTGGGACCAATATTTAAAAAGTCATTAACTTTTTTATGCGTAGCCGTTTTCTAAATTAGATCATTTAATATTTTATAGGCTAGTTAAATATGTATGTTACCATTTATCAAAATAAATTTGATATCCCAATAATACACGAGGGATGAACATAAAAAATATTTTATAACAGATAAATGAAAAAACATATGTCACTAAAAATAGCCAAAAAAAAATTATTTTATGAGAAATTGTTTTTTTGTTATTTTAACAAGCTTTAAGTTTCACCTCAATAATTTAAAAAAGTAGAATTCGATCTTTAATATTTGTTATAAATTTTATATCAATAAAGATTTAAAAAGTACTAAGAAAGTTTTTATTGCAACATGGCTTTTATATTATTTCAACGATAGATAGCATAGGCAGTGACAGTATCTGAGAAAAAATTAGCAAAATTACTTAGTTCGACAAAATTTGAGTCATGGAATGTTTGTGAAATTTATTTATTGTTTCTGATAGTTTCATTGGACGTTGTTTCCGAATAAGTCCATAGTTTTGTTCTTTCCTCAGTATTTTAGCCATAATTTCAGTATTTGTAGAAATAACGGCTTTTCACATAAAATGTTAATTAAAAAAAATAATTTACAAATATAATCATGATTATGCACTTTGTGTACATTTTGTAATCATTACATGGAGTGTGGATGTCGGTATGAACTTTTAAAGTTGAGTTTTACAGAATAGTTAAAAAAGTAAAACTGAACTCTTCTCTTTATCTTTTTTTTTTTTTACTCATAGTTAAATTATTCAAACTATAATTTAAAAAGTTATAGGAAATCAGCATTAAAACAAAAAAAAAAAAAAGAAATGTTCAGAAACAATAAAAAAAAATTCACAAACATTTCACAACTCAAAATTTGTCAAGCTGTGTATTAGTGTTAAAAAAGTGAATTTCAAAAATTGTAGACCTTTTATGAGTTCATCATAACAAAGGTTATAGCAATGGGTTTTTCATTAAGTGACATAATTTGGTACTCGGTGACACAATTTTTATTGCCAACTTAATTTTTTCATTGCGGAAAACTCATTTTAGATGAATTCAAATACTTTTTGTCTTTTTAGTAATTATTTTATAAAATAGATGTGCTGAATTAAATTTAAGGTTATATTTGAAATAGCTCAATAATTAGTTAAAACTATATTATATTAACCCTGTAATAAAAACTTTTTGTTATATTATAAGCAATTTTATTTAAAAATTAAGTAATACTGTTTTTATGATAATTAATTTCAAAATTAATCTATGTCAGTTGTACTTATAATACTCATAATACCAGAACGTAGTAAATATTTAGAATTCAAGTTTGACAAAAATAAAAAAATACTTTTCCCACTAGTTTTAAATGTGCAGTTTGATTTCAATCAAACCGGTAGTTTTTCAATTGAAAACGTAATAGAATAAGTTTCTCTGATTTTTTTTTAACTTTAAAAAAACTTTGAAGCATATCAAATAACTTTTTAAGTAGGAAAAGTCCAAGCAAAGTGAATAATGATAATTTCTCAAAATCTAAATGTTGTAATTGAATTTTGTAAACTTAGACTGAAAGTACAGCGTGATAACTACGTCGGGCTACGGTTTAATAAAAAGTGGTCCTCATGTGATAATTTTTCTTAAATTTAACAATTTTGTAGAAATTTTCGTAGCTAAAAAATACTTATTTTTCCTTATACAATTGGAGTACATAAAAGTAATTATACAGTTGTCTTTATAAATTCGATGATATTTGTGCAATTCATCTACTATAGTTATACTTATAAATGATTAATTTGAAAAAAAATCTGATTAAGCAAAGTAAATAATTGTATTTTAACGGTTTAAAATTGTTACTCATTTGAAACCGTTACGGAAGTATTATTTTCTTCTAATTACGCCCCTTCAAATGTGCTTCCCATTGACCTCTGCTCCAACTTAAATACGTTATTGAACATAATTTATAACTAAATATCATATAGTTAAATTTTTCATGTACTACATAAACTAAAATGAAGAATCACATAAGTGTGTTGCCACGTTTAACTCCCCTCTTTGTATTGAAGGAAATAGATGGCTTTGAAAAAAAATCTACGTCTAACGTTATTTGTTTTGTATCAGTGTACTTAAAAACAAAAAATTACAGTGAAATATAAAACGTACACAAGATGTTAAGTACATTATGGATTTGTAATTAGTAGGGTTCAGGACTTTGTGTATTTATAAAATTTGTTTGGACAACTTCCCAGACACCCGACCCACGAAAATTTACCGTAACTATATAGAATACCATAGAAAGTTGTTTATTCTAGGGGTAAGTAATTCCCCTAAAAATAAATTTATGATTACTATCTTGATTAGGTTTAAAAAAAAAGTAATATTTATTTCTCTTTGATGTTCTCGGCATGACTAAAGTAGACATTATAAATGCATAAAGTCCTGAACTCTAATTATTAGTATTTGTGCAAAGTTTTGTACGAACTAAATAATTTAATTAATGTTTTTATAATGTAGTTTTTAATTTGTATAAAATAAAAATATTGTTGTTTACAGATTTAATTAATGAAAGTCGATTGACAACATTGCAACGAAAATCTGTCGAGGGTTGGCTAAGATCCGGTAAACAACCTTCGATATATCTATCTCCTACTTCCCTTCGCACATCAGCTCCGGCCAACATCAAACGAGACCGCTGTTTTAAGCCCAGAACACTAAAAAATATTGTTGAATCTGGTGCTTATGAACCGGAATCATTTCAATCCGACAGAAGAACAAGTAAAATAATAAAGACAAAGTAAAATTGTCCTTGAACATTGCGATGTAATAAGAATTAGTGTTTGATCATATGATTTGCAATACCCAAATTCAGTTAACAGAAAAACCATTTGATGATTTGAAAAATTCCCTTTTCCAATAGGCGCGAGTACTTATGACGCATACATGCCTGATATATCTCTTACGTCAATATTGATTATGTTCGGTATATTTATGCGTTTACAAATGTGTATGACATGTGTACATGTTAAACAATCGCGTGACTAGTTTTACCGTACCGTTTAACGCGTTGCATATCATAGAGCTGGGGACGTTAGGTTCGAAATATTTTTAATATGCAAGGGAAGAGCAATTTATTCCTTGAAACACGTTCAATAAATAATTACAACAAGCTATCCTTATCATATCGCCCATCGAATCCGCCCGGCTGTCTCAAATACTATCTGACAGAAACTACTTAATCGTCCCGTCGCCGTCCTCACAATAACGGATTCCAAAATAATCGTTGTCGTCTTCTGAATCCCTGGTGCCTATTTTTAAAATTTGGACTAATCTTTGACTATTAAATCATTGTGTTGACGATAAGTACTACGAAAATACGTTATTTTTCCTGAGTCCCTGGTACAGTTTTTCCAAATATTTTTGGCAACTGCAGTGACCTGCAACAGTATGTTTTACGAAAAACATAGACGGATTGGTTGCCTACACAAAACGCCTTAAACCTGATGCATTTAAAAATTAAATGATTTTTGCCTATTTTTCTCACAAGAAATTATAAATTTATGTTTATTAATATACGCGTTCAATACATCGACTAGTTTTTATTTATTTTTATGGTTATTATATTTCACTACTAGCATGCTAATAAAAGCGAAGGCTTAATTAGAAAAAAAAATGTATTATACTAAATCAATTTTATTTTCACCTTAAAAAAAGTTTTATAAACAGCATAAATATTATTTTCTAAGAACTCACTTAAATAAATTAACAGAATAATGTTTGAAATGAATAAATACTTAAATAATGATTACTTAAATTTTCTTTAATTTTTTTAATGTACCAACCTCATTTTTTCATAAATATTAACCAAGTACAATTATTATTAACTACTAAAATAAAAATCTATTAATCTTATTAATAAAATATTTTCACTTATTAACGTCTTTCTCATTTAGTGTCGTGCTAAAAAAAAAAAAAAACTCGCGTTTAGTTTGATTAAAATGAAATTACACAACAATTTTTTTATTGCTCATTCATGTGTTTGATAAGCAAGGATATTTTATACTATCAATATATTCGTTTCTCATAAACAATTTTAAATTATTAACAAATAGATTGGTTATAATTGACAATGTATTTCTAAATAATTTATAATGTTTATTATTATTTTACAAGAAAATTACTCTGCAGAGAAAGAAAGGTTACAAAGTATTATGATGTATGGTAAAGTGACGAAAATTGATTCAGCGACAGAACCCAAAAAATCTATTGTCGCTAAACAAATAAATATAAACTCTGAAGACTATCTTATAGATTCAGGTAAGATAATTAAATATATTGAAAGTTTACTAAATGATTTCATTAGGCAGTGGCATATAAACTGTTAAATTATAACCTGTTGCCTCGGGATAGCAAATTTTTAAATACACCTCCGTTTATTTACTGTTAAAAATTGTTCACTTTGTAATGTGCACTTCATTTAATATTCTTTAAAGATTTTTTTAATAGAAATAAAAAAATACCATCAAGGTAAATTTAAAATCTAGTATTTTTGATGTTAATATAGTGATAAAATATAACATAAAATTTACAAAAATAAATAAATTTTTTATTAAAAATTATAAACGGATATTTTAAATCTTGTATAGTAAACAACATTGAAGTTATTATAATATTACACTACGAGAAAAAATTAGCTCTTTTTATTTAGATGGTTGTTATAAGATAAAGACTTATCTGTACATTTATTCAGAAAAACTAATCGAAATATTAGAGAGCTTAAGTCAATTATCTTATAATTCATAGAGCGTGTTATTAATACATAAAATAAATATACAGAGTGTTTCAGGTATAATACTTAGAACTTTTATCTAATAATCATTTCGCTGTAATTTTTCAAAAACAATGTTTGTATGTTTTGCGAAAGCATATTTTGATTTGTCTTAAATAAGATATAATTGTTTTCCTAAAGCTTAAAACATCCTTTTTTTAGTCTTTTTCGACTAAAAATTCTTATGGGTCCATGACAATCTTAGGACAAATAGTGGCCCATTGATATACAAGCATTTTAATACAATGAGTGGTTAATACCCCACTCACCCCAAGTCCCTAAGTAGTTGGGATTAAGGCGAGGAAGAAGAAAAAGAGTGGGTATTAGCCACTGGGTATGTATTGCGGTTGGGTGCACATTGAACTGGTGTTCGTATACACCGCGTTCCGTTTAAATTACATAAAACATCTTATTTAAATAGAGTAAAAACTCTACTTGAGAATAAATGAGCGATTCAGTTAATGAAGCAAATTTTATACATTTTTTTTCTAGGTTTGTCAAATAAATATTAGAAATAAAGTTTTAATATTCTATTTATATTTACATTTGTGGAAAAAAGATAAATTTGTACAATAATTAATGAAAAGTTTCCTTGGGAATTATTTAACCGCAAACATATTTATGCAGTTATAATGAATTAAAATAATTATTATTATTAACTTTATTTAAAACCCATTTAGACGAATTGATATTCAAATATAATAAGTTTCCTAATGGGTTATCAGCACATCAACGTAATCAAATTTTCGTGGCACATATAATTAATTAGAAATTCGTAGTTATGTTAACTCAGTAATTTACAGTGTCTGAATACAAATCCTAAAATAAATTTTGTTGCTGCGGGTTTTAATTTTATATCTCATTTTAAGTTTACAGTATTACGAAAACGCTATGAATGCTACTATAATTCTTTTATTGTACTTATATGTAGGAATAAGTACATCAGTAGGAATAAGTATATCATTTTTAGACGATAATACAGATATATATTCATTCTAATATGTGTAATGCATATTCGTGTAAGAACAGAACATCAAAAAAGGTTTTTTAAATCCCAGTTTTTACTAATATATTATTTCCCATATGAGCCAATACGTAGTAAATTTTTATAAAAAAACAAAAAGTGTAATTTTAAAAAAAATACAGCTATTTTTTCATGTAATTATAGATTTATTTACTGATAAATTTGCATTAACTAAAAAATTAAGTAATTACAATAAAAATGTACAATGTATTATTGTAAAGTATTAGATTATAAAAATTATTGCATTAAAAACAAGAGCACTATAAATTTATTTACAAATTGTTTTTTAAGTTTTAACATTTTAACTGCATAAATGAGATTATAAATAGGTACATATTGCTAGGTGGTAAATGATCAAATAGGGTTAAGGACAATGTGTGTTTGAAAATCGTTGATTTTGTAAAACATAATTACCAATCTTTTAAATCCCTATTATTAAATGAATAAGTTGTAGTTTAAAGAAAAGAAATCTTAGATTTACTGAAACTCGGACTATGGTATTATTTTTATAATGTATTGTAGAACAACACAAACAAAAAATATGTAATAATAAAGCTACTTTATATTTGTTTTTCATTTTTTGTTCATGCATTTAGTTATATTGGAAATTGAAGACCGAGAAAAATTTCTTTCCAATATGGAAATTTTGGGTCAAGCTGCAAAATATAGAGAGTCAATAACCTTCGAAATACGAGATCGTGTAAGACATTTGCAAGAATTTTTAAGAAAAACATCTTCAACACATCGCCAAACAGACATACAAAAAATAGCTTTAAAATACCGACAACCACAAATTCCATCCAAACCATACAAAATAGATATTGTTGACAGTGTAAAAGGAATGCAATAATATCACACTCGATGTTTTATTCTTGCATTATTGCATTTTTCAAGTATAGAATTTTTTTTAAGAATAGAATAATACTGATAATAAATAGGAAAATACGCACATAAATGTTAAAAAAAAATTTAACTACAAGAGTTCATTTTATAGATGTTTTTTTTATTTTCTTAGAAAAATTGCTTAACATATATTGAAGCTAATAATACAAATTGTAAACAAATGTATTCTATAATTTCATATATACCATTAATTCAGATAATAATAATAGATATATATTATAGATAAAATATAAAAAATAACCTATTTATAGTTTGGATGATATCTTGATAAAACGATAACTTTATATGAGGTTATGTTAAGTTGGTTTTAATGTTATCAAAAACAAATTTGACTTGTGTTAAAAACACAAGAAAATTTAAAGTAATTGTTGTAAATGAAGTATTATCAGTAAACAGATTGCATTTGAAATAGTCATATACCTATTTTTATTTCTATAAACATAATTACCTTTTTCACTAAGCTACCTAACGATTATATTTAATCTCCAACTTCTAAGCCTCTTAAATGGTTGAAATTGTATGTTATTTCAGTTATTTTTCCTAGGAAGTCTTAATTTCTTCGAATATGTGGTTAGCAGAGATTTTGGTAGATAACAAATTATTATTTTATGATAATCATCTCATAAATAAATGCGATTTTATGGCCTAAAACTACAATGTATTTATATTATTGTTCTTTATGAAAGTATCACAAAAAAAAATGTATACATATACAATTCATATTCAATGTTTGGAAATTAATTAGTTTTATTTTTAAATTTCAAAAATTTATCTGAAAAATTTAAATACTGATAAGAAAATAATAAAACAATATTACTTGTTATTATAAATTTTCAATGTTTGACTTTTACTATGTTCATATCATAGTTAAATAAATTGTGAATTTGAGAAGAAATTTTAATTAAACAAACAAGGAGAACTTTTAAAAGAAGTCCATTAAAATGTTCACTAAAATTTGAATAAAAATGACGTTTGAACTAACAGACCATCTCGTGATGATCTCATAATAATCAAGTCATATAATTAAATTATACATCACACATTTATTTATTTTACTAATTAATATTATACATATTATTTATATTTAGTTTGTGTGGAAAAAAGTAATAGTATATTTTCAACTTAATAATACTTAAAATATTCATCGTGTTAGTATTTGTATCCTGCAACTATCGTGCTTTACAAATACATTTAAAAAACTGTTATATGAATTTTTTAAAAATAATCAAGTAAGCTGTCTTAGTATAAAGTCAAATTGATGTTTAGCCTGTTAGAATACCCGTCAACGATAAAACCGCCTACATAATATTTCCTTGACTTATGTGTGTTTCTCTTGTTCGATAAGTGCAATAGTATTATATCACCAAATAAGTTACGACTTGAACTGTAGTAAATCTTCATGACTATCTCGATTGCACGCGGTAGATGGAAATTGACATTTCTCACAAATTACATTTTCATGTCTCATAAATAATAGTTGAATAGCATTATGAAAACAGCATTATTTGTAATACTGAATTATATTGTATACGTTTCGTAGTTTTCACATTTCAATCATAATTTATATTTTTTTTGGATTTTTAAGTTTGTATAAGTGAAACACAATTTACTTATTTTTTTAAATTCATATTATATGTAGATAGAATTTGTTGTTATGTTGCATTAGGCTTTTTGTCGGTACAATATAATACGTGCAATTATAAACCTGTGTTAAATTGTAGTATACTTGGTGAAATAATAAAAATCACTACTATATTTTGATTCGATAAATGTTATGAATCATCCAAACAAATTATAATTTAGAGAATCGCTCGGTTAATTCCAATATTGCACAGCCCAGTAGATTTTGGAGGATGAGTCGTATTTTTTGATCCTTTATAATTTTATACGATTGAATGTACACTATATATTTATCAATAATACTTACTACACTTAAACCTTTTTTGGCCATTACCTGTACTCTATTTGAGTTGTACCCATCGATAAGAATGTATATATTTTTTTTTTTCACACGGTCATTTTTTTTAAACGTCATTGATTCTATTGATCCGTACACAATGTAAAAACACAATATTTTATGATAAGTAAATGACTCTTATTTCAATTGACTAACCAGTAGTTTCATTGATATGGCTAACAAACACGATCAGTAACTTATAATTAATATATATTTAATTGCTTATAATTGACAGTATGGATAAAAACAAATTGTAAAGCGAAAAAAAAGGAAAAGTGAAATATTCAAAAACATTTTTATATTGCTGCTTTTTACAGTTTTATTGGTTGAATAATTAGCCTACAATGTTTATATTGTACATGAATAATATCTCAGAGATAATTTTAGGTTTGTGCGGCACAACATATGGCGACAGGTAAGCGAACAACAAAAGAGTTCGTGTAGTAATGCATTTCAACTACGCCCCAATATTTCTTTCATTCATAAACTGAGTAATCATAATTAAATCATAAATGAAAAACCGGATGAATATTGTAACTTTAGAAGATCATTATTTTTAAATAAAATATACATAGATGCAAAGGTAGCTTTTAATACAAGTAACTAAAAAAACGTTTTTTTTAAATTCAAACATCATAAGTACTATACATAATAAATGACTGTCAATAATTAATTTAAAACCCGAACTAAAAATAGATTCTAAAACTAAGGATTTTAAAAACAAAACATATTTATAGCAGTCCTTTTCTAAAATTTTATTTTTATCATTTTAAAAAACAAGGGGCTCATTTTGATAACTGAACGACTTCTTTTAGTCGAAAAATAAGATGGTTCGGTAATTGCGAGGCTTAATACATTCTCAGTAGCAGTTCTGTTGAAAAAATTGTTTTGTCAAATTGAAAATAAAGATAACTGGTGGGTGGTTTTCATAAAAAATATTTATAACTTTAAGTTATANAAATTGTTTTGTCAAATTGAAAATAAAGATAACTGGTGGGTGGTTTTCATAAAAAATATTTATAACTTTGAGTTATATATTTGTCGAGTACAGTCTTTCAATGTTAATGGTACTTAATTAACTTCTCAATTTTTTTTTATTTAAATAATTTTCGACTTTAGATCTCGTATAACTTAAAAACATGACACCCAAGAATATATTTTGTTAACACTTTGATATCCAAGTTCAAAAAATTGTCTCTAACTAACCAATAATGCATTTTCAGTAATTTACTTTAAAAATTTTGCTAATAGAACTAATAGTTTACCAAAATTATAACCACATAATTTAAAAGACATGACTTTTCAATGTCCAAACAAAGTTGGAGTCTAAGGGTCATCAATATATAGAGTAATACTTGTAATCGCAAAGAAGTTTTTGCTAAATAATGTTTAATTTAAAAAAATTGTATACACTTCAAACATTAGTTATGATTTCTTTTACTAATAAACTTAAGAACCTTATTTTCTAAACTAAAAATTTACCAAATAAAAAAATAATTGAGATTTTTAAGTTTTATTATTGTAAATGTATAGCTTCTTTTTTATTTTGAAATATATTTCAACAATTTATGAGCTTAAATATACTAATGAATGTGTTAACTATACATATTATGTAACCTTATTTCTAAATCTCTTTTATAGTGTCCTATTGGAGATGGCGTGTAAGATCATAGATTTTAATTCGGTAAATAATTGGTTTTGGAATAAAAATTATTACTTTTAGAAAGTTAAAACTATTTTCTATAAATAGACATTTAAAAATGTTCTAACTAGCCGTATTTTATCAATATGATTACCATAAGGGTCATTTATAATATAAATTGTGTCGTATTAAACTATCACTATCAATATTTGAGCTTTTATTATTTGAACTCATAACTTCACATTATATCCCCAACTTATTATTTAAGGAAGATTGATTTTCAAATAGAAAAAGGGGACTTTTATATGATCAGATAAAATATTAATTTGTCCCTATTTCTATTTTGTGCCATCTAAATCCAATTTATACCTTTATAAGCTACAAATTTTATACCACATAAAAATAAGGGCAGCATTCATCAGTGTTATTTTTAGATATCAAAAGGAATAAAGACAATCCGTCTTAAGTTAAAATAAACAATAAAAAATTAAATGATCATAACAACTATTTCAATGTACGTGAAAATATTTATAAAATAACATAAAAACACATGGAGAGAACATGTTGAAAAAAAAACGAGTAAATCAATAGAAAGTATTTAGAAATGGCTCGAACAACATTAAGCAAAAATATTCGAAAAATCTTATATATACAATATACTTTGGAAATAAGTACCTCAATTTGGAAAAGTGATAACTATTTTCTATTTGTGTATATATAATACAACTTATACACAATTTTATGTACATACACCATTTGGTATATTGAGACTATTTGAAAGTATCTTGTTGTATGTTCCCAATCAGAAAACGACAACGTATTCAGTACCATATCAAACCTGACAGCTCTGAGCAGTATCGTATTGGCTACCAGTACTGGACCAATACTTGTGTATGTCTGAGATGAAAAAGTTTTTCCGTACCAACAGATCAGTACTGGAGGTTGTGTATAACTAATACAACGCCAGTACTTTGCCAACAATGCCAGAGTACTGATTACTAATACAGTAATTAGACAAAACGCCAGCCAGTAAATTGGGTTGGCCAATTGTCAGAGGGCAGTATTTTTATCACACTTCGCCCGTTTTCCTTATTGGTCCTTAACAAAATGTTCTGCTTGAGCTTTAAAATAATATTTTCTTCAAATAACAAAATAACTATGAATTAATAAAAAAAAAAGTAATTTAAAAACCTGTTTTGATTCCTCTCGAAATAAATATGGAAAAATTCATTTCATCAAAAGACCAATGTCTGTTTTTCTTATTTATTCGTCTAAAAATAAATTAATGTTTTGGATAACGATTTCAATTTTATTTTATTTTATTAGTATTTATTTAAATTTTATTGACTTTGTCATGTGTTTGCTAACTCATTTATATCAATAGTAATTTTATTTTTCAAAAAAATTTTGTCAAAATAAATTATTAAAATTTATTATTATTTATTTAGGTATCTATTTAAGGAAATTATTGATTTAGTTTATCTATCGATATAAATTTATGTTTAATTAAAACTAATAAGAATTAAATTTTAGATAATAAATTCTTTTATTATTAAA